TGCTGCTGCTGCTGCTGCTGCTGCTCCGTGCCTGGAAATGCTGCAGGAGCCTGACTACCCCCAGCACCAGAGAACGGGAAGCAACTGTTCTTGTTAACACGTGGCTGGACTCATCTCAGCTTTGTTTGGTGCTTTCGCTCAGCACTGAGAGCAAAGATGAGCTTTATGTGTGTGTGGCTTTTAAAACACTGAGATAGTTGGTGTTACTTAGACATTTTCCAATGAACATTTCATCGTAAGAGGCCCAGGTGTAGTCCTGCAAGGGAAAACATAGCTAGTCTGGGAGCTCACCAAGCAGACCCTTCTGCTTCAAGTCGCAGAACTAAAGACTGTTACATTAGAACCAAGTGCATAAAGTTGTGGTGAGAAGCATTGGTCAACTTTCTTTCTCTTGCAACATCTTTGGCCACTTTAGAGCTTGCTACAAATAACTAATTTTTGGGTTGAAAAATGCTTTTACATACTTCCTAGGAACTCTGTCCAAAGTGTCTGTTAGTGTTGTTGAATTTTGGAGTTTGGCTCTTCCCTGTCACGGGTAGGCATACAAGCAGCCAGTGGTTTCCTGACAAGGACTATTTTCCTGGTTGCATCTTTTTCAAACCCATTCTACAACTGTCTTTACAGCTGAAAAGCTGAATGGTGTGCCAGACAGACTGCTAGGACACTCCACGCAGCACATTTGGCAAATACCTTATTTCCCTTCAAACAGAAAATGTCTGTGGCATTGAGTGTTTAGGGAGAAGTGACTGATAATGTGGTGCCTCGTTGCCAAAGCCTTTAATAACTTGGGTGTTTTTAGCAATGTTTAGTGCTTGAGGTTTTTAGCAATATGTTTAGTGCTTGAGGTTTAGGCGTCTGATAAACATAAAATATGTAAAGCCTTTATACATGCTCATTGTTGCTGTAAAAGAGACTTAATAGTTGGCATCAGACCAGGATGTAAGGCTCACTGTTTGAGGTTTTGAATGCAATTTTTTGCTGAAACAAAGAGAAATTGGAGGAGTGATGAGTGAAGGATAGGCATGAGCATTCCTCTTCGTTGGGATAAGGAGTAATGGACATAAATTGAAAGAGAGGGAATTTACATTTGATACTAGGAAGAAATTTTTTCCTGTGAGGGTGGTGAGGCACTGTCCCAGGGTGCCCAGGGAGGCTGTGGCTGCTCCAGCTCTGGCAGTGTTCACAGCCAGGTTGGATGAAGCCCTGAGCAACCTGCTCTGGCAGGAGGCATCTCTGCCAGGAACAGTTGTGACTATATGATCTTTAAGGTCCATACCAACCCCTTAACATTCTGTGATTCTCTGCAGTGAGCTGGTGTTAGTCACTGAATACTCTAAGAGGAGTACAAGTGCTTGTGTCAGAGTTACTCTGAGATCCATGAGTGAAATGCATGGGATAAAAAGAAGAGGAATTCACAAGATGATTTCCTGCACACTAAGTATCTTGGCAGGAAGCAAGAGCAAGAAGTTTCTGGGCAGGGTCTCAAGCCACTCAGAGTGTTGGCCATGCCTGCTGTCCTGGAGGCTCTCCCAGATAGCCAGTGGGTGCAGCAAACACCAGAGGTTTCACAGCAGCCATGAGAAGATGCAGACAGGTGGGCCCAGAGCCTCCTCCCACCAGGAAGCTAGGACTTCTTACAGAATAGAGGTAGTGACACCCTAGAAGCCGTTTCTCACGCAGACAAGG